TTGATACTAAAACTCAAATACAACGCATGCACATATTAATCTTAATCTTAACATTAATTCTAATGTTTTTTGTGTTTAATTCTTTTCTGTATGAAATTGTTGAAACATTTGTTTCGTAAAATATCATCTGTCATATATCTACCACAGTCCCCATCGGCGGATGTGCAATTTATGATTAAATAAAGAAGTCATTTTGTCAACTTGAATTTATTATTGGTTGCCGGATTGAAATTACTTTGGCGTCATCATCAGAAGTGCAAAGAAGTGACGAGAGTGAGAAACTGTTGTCTCAATTACGAATAAATTAATGTTTACGAAGATTACATCTGTTACTTTATTTTAAAGTTATGTTATAGTTAATAGTTAAATAGTTATGTTCCTTTTTGAATTTTAATTACTTACCTATTTTATTGTTTCAGATGTTTGAAACATTAAATATAGGAAATATCCCCGGATTTGCAAATGTATTATAGTTTTGTCACTATTAAATTTCAACACCCGAACCTCAGCTCATCTGCTGTGAATACTGAGAATATGGGATTTCCATTCGTCAGACTGTTACGACCTGCACTCTAAGTGGCATGAGAGGACGTTCTAAATATTACATACGAGTACAGCCGGCGGGAATCACCAGGACTTTAAATTTGTGTCATTGTGTAAATCGACATGATTCACTTCCGGTGATGTGCAGAAAATGAAGCCTTATAGGTCAACTTATATATCCTCATAGGTCCTTATATATCAACAAAAAACGTTGCTTGCGATTTACTGCGTAACATCCTTTTATACTGACATACGAACTCATAGTTTACACGATTTATTATTTCCACGTGAGGACTGTGAGAAGAAGGCAAGAGAGAAGAAGGCATTCTCTCGTCGTTTTGGATTTCAATTATTAAAATAAATGTATTACGTAAACAATTACTGGTATCTGTAATTCTATTATGTTGGCTTTCCCTACATACGATTACTATCCTATGTAAGATCCCTTCTTACTCCTTTGATGTAAATAAACATCACTGCTACGTAATGTCCTTAAGACTTGAAATAATAATTTCATCTGGAGTTAAAAAGTATATCTTGCTTCCTACAGTGAGGCAACTACACTGTGAACTCCTCACTTCCGCTACCCGGACAGCACATGCCCATTCGTGACAAAATAATCGAAATACATCACACGCAATGTAACGGACTCATCCCCATACGATTCGAACTCGCGACCCATCAAATGAATCCATTAATGATTCTCGCTTGCACTTCTCTGAGATATTAGGTTGACAATGCTCTCATTCCTGAACTTTATTTTTTTCTTTCAAAGATTTAAAATACTAATATTAGCGGTGTTTGTCTTATACATCATCACATACGTTTAGAAGCAGGCCTATCTTTGTAAGAATTTCCCCTTGATTTACGCAGGCCAGAATCTTGGGAGTGACTGTAGGATACCTTATTAACGTTTAGAATCGTCCATTGCGTTTCAGCGCTAAATATGGGCACGGTGGTCGAAAGACTGATAAAGCAGCCTAAGACGTGGCATGGCCCGAATTAGGTGAAACCATTGACAGGCGCATTAATTGCCCCTTGCCCTTACGAAATGTGTCATGCGCCTGTACTTGTCATGTTTCGTTGAGCTCGAATTTGAGCAAACACTCGAATCATACATAATAAAGATGTGTTGTGTGAAGAATAAATAATAATTAACATGGAATATGGAATATAATATAGAAATAGTAACATGGGAAATCCAGAGGAAATCAGCAGCAAATACGATATATCCTCAGGAAGTTCGGAATGGAGTAACCGAGGACACTGAAAAGCGCGTGTCCAGGCCTACGGGCCATCGGACACTTCGAGCCATCCCCTTTGCGGGCGATGTGTCACCAGTTTATTTCCAACGTAGTATAAGCTGCATTGTACTTATAGGTACGATGCACTCTCAAGACCTTTCGCCGACGCGATAAGCTGAACCGTAGCTAACGGTTGTCCCGTGTAAGGCATTCTTGGAATCTTCCATTCTCCAAAAATAAAGAAACAATATTACAAAATAAAAATAAATCAATCGAAATAAAATAGGTATATAAAATATATAAATTAGAACGCATTTCATAAATAAATTAATTGAAAGAGGGGCATCGATGAGGGCGATCGATAAAGAAGAAAAATAAATAATATATTAGAAATGAAAATTACAAAACGATGGAGTTGATAGGAATGCTCCTCCTGGAGCCAGCGGGCAGGGCATGTTCCAAAGACTTTATTGGTCAACTTAAATTCCTGATAATTGTCTCGGGAAAACAGAATGCATTAAGGTACTAGAGACGTTCCTTAAATCACAAGACACACAATTTGGGAAGGTGTTGATATTCCAAAGTTATTAATTTTTACGTTATACTCTCTAATTCTCTCGAAAATGCATCAATAGGGGCGGGGCTTCACTTTCTCTCCCCATCAATTTCCCATATTCATTGCAAGCGCTCTGCTGCTAGTGGTGACAAAAAATATCGATATATCAAATTGCTGCTAGGAGCAAAATTAATTTATTATACCGATACATTATATATCGTGTAAATTGCATTACTATTTCATCTTGCCAATTTTTCTTTGAGGACTTGATACACGACGAAGAAAATATTTATTTGACAAATTAACTCTCTAATTGCTGCCTTTAAAAAATAAACAGACAGACATGAGTACGACGCCGATGCCATATTTGATAACCAGTGTGGTTTAGCAGACCTAATATACACAGAAAGTAATACATGTGTTTAACTTTTTCCAATAATAAATTAAAATTAAATAATAAAAAGAATTTGAACGATTTTATTTTAATATTATTGTTAAAGTTTAAATTTTAATAACAACACTAAATTATATAATTTCATTTTAATAATAGTATTTTGAATCTTCAAATTTAATAGTATTTTGAATCTTCAAATAAACCTACCAATACGCATTTTCAATACGACACAAATAACGCTAAATTATATAATTTCATTTAAATATTATTTTATCTCCAAGTAAATCTAACAATAAGAATATTCAATTTCAATATACCTTTATATTGACAGGATAAAACAGGACCTATCTGATAATAACTGTACCTATCTGAAAATAAACAATACGTCGTTACCAAAATTATTTTCTCCTATAGATTCACAATGAAGGCTGTTTTGAAGCTCCCGAGTTTGAATAGCTGCGTCATCCACGAGCGAAAAGTCAATGGCAAAGGGCGACTCTCAGCTCGCTCCAACCGCCGTGCTGGCATTGGGAGTATTTGTTTTTCTGCGATATGCAGCCCGAAAGACACTAATGGCTCGTAGACGACGGGCGTCATAAAGAAAGCTGGCGTACGCCAAGGCTCATATGCGAATTTCTATCTCTTTAGAACATTGTCTCGCTCGTACTCAACGATCAGCTTCGAAAGATATTCTCTTGTCTTCAGGTTGAAGTAGTTTCGTCGTGATTGTTTTGTAGCTCTGTTGAACGACTAGCTATAATCGAAAATGTAGCAAAACGTCTTTCTTTATCGATTTTCTACGGCGTTTGACAGCCCAATTATTCCAATTACTTAGAGATATACGATATCATAATATCTTTCTTTTAATCTTAAGTAGTGAAAGCGAAAGACACCTAAGTAATCCATGTTCAAATAAAGTCTAAAAATGGGAAGTAAATCATGCCAAGAAATAGAGACAAATATGACGGTTGCCTGTATCTGTCAAAACAGCTGAACCAATATTGACTAAAGTTTTCCTCTGTGATACTGAAGATTCTACAATACAAATTTAGAAAAGAAATTTCCCACAAACTATGAAATAGTTGTTTTGCACTAGTATCTCGTAATGTCTTCCAATGTTAATAAGCTTTATTTACGCATTTCATAGTCTACAAAAAATGAAAGATTCTCAAAACACTAGTCTTAAGAACTTGAATATGATTATTTTAACTATTTGTAACAAACTTTAATAAATATTTCATGGTGGCAGCCACATGATAACCAGCGAGTCAGCAAAATCCAAACTAGTGTGCCAGCGACATGATTGTGACAGGAAACACTTAAAATAATAATGTAGTAGCAGATATCTGATTCAAGGTGTGAATTGGTTTTTCAAATTAAATTCTTTAAAAAATGGCTCGGCAAATAATAACTTCACTGTGAGATAATGGATGTCTACCACACATTCTCGCACACTAATATGACAATATTAATTAGAGTTTTAAGTGGTTATGCCTTGACGATAGTTTGGCACTAATCTTTCTAAAGGAATGGCTGGGTTCATATCAGTTAAAACTAATTTTTGCTCGCTCTCTAAAAGAGCGTTGACAGTACACTAATATAAAAGACACCAGGCAAAGACGGTCAGAAATTAATTCCACGGAGGACACTAAGCGAAGCTATTTTGGGAGCGCAAAGCACAAAGCAACTTGTGAAAATTATTGGTTACACGTTCCTGATTATACTTGTAAGAGTAAAAAACGCCCCTACAAATCACATGAGGGGAAAGTTTCAATATATCTTTGAGGTTTCAATTAATTCTAACTTTAATAATACTCAAGAAAATCATTTCAAATGTTATTTTCTTTGAATAATTGTTGTTTTAAAAGGAAGGTATTAATACAATAATCTCCATTGTTGTTGGTCGCCGAAGAGCGTACGTAAGAAGCTTAATTTTTGGTAATAAAATTACGAGCGTAACTGTTTCTGCCTGAGCCACGCGAAAACCGCCTGCCAGTGTACTAATCTGTCACTGTCTCTTCTTTTGTCTACCTCATACACCTCCTGTCGTCGCTGGTGGGCGTTGCGCCTAGACGCCTCGGCCGCGACACCTCCGTCGGTCTCCCGCCTCCACTCCTCCCACCCCCGCCCCACGCGCGTATCAGCGTGTTCCGCGCCATCGGCGACGCTTTCTCCACCAGGCCGCCGCCGCCGCCGCCACCGGCACTCCAGCCGCGCTCTTCCACAGTCTACCACAGTCCCCGGCGGCGTTCTGTTCGCAGGAGGCCATGAGCGTCTGCCGCTCGTAGCCAGCAGCGCCGCCGCCCTCGCCGCCGCCGGAGCCACAGCCGCTCCCGGGCTCGCCCACCCGCCCGCGACCCGCGCCGCCGCCACCGTCCCCGCCCCCGCTGCCGCCGCCGCCGGCCCGTCCAGCGCCGCCAGCGCCGCCGGCTCCGCCATGGCCGGCATGACCGAGCTGTTCCTCAAGGCGTTCGTGGCGCGCGTCGCCGACGACTTCAAGCAGAAGGAGCTGCTGCCGCTCAAGCTGCTCTTCTTCGTGCACGCCTCCAGTGAGTACCCCGCCTGCGGCGCTCTGCTACAGGCTGAGACGTCTTCCCTTCTCCAGCAGATCTAACAGTAGACGAACTGTGTTGTAGTAGTAGATGAACTGTGAAAAGCGTCTTTATCCCTTGTCGCACCCAGTGAGAAGGAATCGATTCCCCACTCTGAAAACACAGAATACTAACTAAAGCGAACCAACTAAAGCAAACCCGGGAACGAGAGAGCGTTTTGGATATAGCAACATGTACACACAGTGTCAGTGCAAAGTGTAATTGCCAATTTATTTTTATGACAAAATATTTTTAGTGCTCACTAGACGCATTGATACGCGTTTCTAGCTGATAACGAATGACCCCAGTTTTCGATTTTTACGTTTAAAAAAAATTAATCAATAGTCCGTGCAACACAATTTCAAAAGCATTTCTGCCAAAACGCTTTATTGTCACAAACTCAACATGGTTGAAATTGAATGCACCCTTAAAATAACTACATAACTAACTGTTTTCGATTATTCCCGCCTTTCGTTCGCCTCCGATATCGTGGCTGATTCGTTCGACAAGTCAGTTAGGGGGCGATACCCAATAAACTTCTTTGGTCCATGGGATAATATTTTGATTGGCAGCTGCCTTTACCATCGGCTCCCGCCAGAAACTTTCTTTTGACATTTAACAAGTGTCGCCACGCGCTCAGTATCAGTGACAGTTGATAATGTTCGAGCATACCTGTGCCACACGATTAGGGTGCAAATCATGAGGAATCACTTGATTTTCGTAGAATTGTCGTATAGCTGCAATCTCGTTCCCACCCTCCAGCTCGCCCACACATTTACGGGAAGTCGGGCAGAAAGAAAGCAGAACGTTGGTGAAGAACGCTTCTCTTACATCTCAGGAGATAAGTCCTGCTCTACATGTCGCCTTGAGTGGGATTTCTACTTCTAGGTATCTCCCCCTTCGAGGCACCATCCCAGCCGGGACAAGCTCTAAGCTGGCAACTGATCTTCAGACAGATGTGGTAGTGTAGTGCCCGTAAGTGTGTGTCGGTGTGTGTGTGTGTGTGTGTGTGTGTGTGTGTGTGTGTGTGTGTGTCCGTGGCCCGATTGTTAGGATACTTCTTCGGAATTCACTCGGTATTGAGACTACGGGAAACTACCGATCAGAACAGCTGACCGCTAGAATTATCCTCCAGGAAGCGGCTGAATTCGACCTAGTCGTCTAGTTGGTGTCGAGAATCCTGCTACTGTCGGAACTCGAACCCCCTCTGACCTTAGTGCCCAGCAGTGACATTATTTGATGCCCTGAGCCACCTTTATATAAATATTAGAAATAAAAGTGAAATTATGCAGCTAAAATCATTGCAATCAAGCATTATTTATGAAGGGCATTTTCGCTTATAATTTTTACTAAGAACCCAACCTACACATTCTGTGAGATGCTCGAACCAATTGGAGATTTTAAGTGTTGTATTGTAAAAATTACCTCATTACAGTTCCTTAACGATTTATACAAATGGGTTCTTTAGAAGTTATATTTGCGCAAATTGTTTGTCACTGTCAATATCAGCAATTAATTATTTATATAGTCAATAAAAATTCTTAGAAATTTATTATTCGTTCACAAAATTAATTTATGTTTGAATCAGTAGCATCTTTTATCTAAAGAAATATTTTCAATGGTTTAAAATACTAATTTTGTACCTTAATATAATCTTGGATTTGTAATAGTTTGAATAACAATAGCAATGTACAATTATTGTATTCGAATGTTGTAAGGATAGTTATAAGATGCCAATCACTCATTTTCAGATCTAAGGCTACTACTTACAGCCACCAATGTTCAAAGATAACACATGCCCATTCAACCTCTGTCCAATGGTAAACAACGATAAGAAAACTGGTTTGTACGTCCTGGAGATAGTGTAATACAACTAACTATCCACTGGAACCCTAAGCTCCTTCAATTAAAGCCACATGCTTTCGTAGAAAGAGATAATACTAGAAATCCAGGTATGACGAGAAAGGGAATTGAAATAGTTTAGTCTACTGCTGAAAAGGGAACGTCCTATGATTCACGGGTCTGGTTAGATCCTTGAAGCGATTTCCGGCAACCGTGTTGAGGAACCTATTCAACATTTAAATAACTGCATTAATAGAAAAAAGTGATTGATTTCGCGGACGAGAGACATGTTCGTTTATATACACTCATTCACTGGAAACGATTAGTCTCGACACTTCACAAGATACGAACAAACGTTGCTTTAATTTTCTAATGACTCCAATTTTTTAGCCAGTGTTAACAGGCAGGGTTTTTTATCCTCAAAATGTTAAGCAATTTTTTCACTTTAAGGAGCATTTTTTACTAAGGAGCAAAATATGTTTTGAACTACTTGAATTTTATCTACGCTACTTTTGGTGGCTTCACCCCATACAGGGCAAGCGTAAGTAAGATATGGTATAATAATTGATTTGAATAAAGTTGTTCCCCATTCTATGCTTCGTCTAGGATGGTTATTTATGAGTGCATATAGATTTGCCAGTTTCACGTATGTTTTATTGGCCATTTCTTCAATATGATATTTTCACGTAGTTTTTGGAATAGATCTGACTGGATGATCTTTTTGATCCATTTTAAATTTACATTTTTACTCGATTGTAGTTTGGAAATTGTAAGTATTCGTAGCGTAAGTATCTTGAGCTGTGATTTAGTCGTTTTTTTATTTGCCATTTTGGGTACCAATTTATAAATGTAATGTAATGAATTTCGTAAAATTTTTTCCCCTTGCTCTAAATCTTTGTTTATTGTGAACAGTACTATGTCATCCGCGAAACATCCTATTTATGATCTTTCCATCTGAGGCTAGTCCGCAACATAAATGTTAAAGAGGGTGGAGGTTCGATAGAGAGGGTGGTGAGAGTGGTGGCCCTTGCGGTACTCCGCTTGGGTGATTTTCTAATCAGATAAGGTATTCTTCACTTTCACCGTGAAGGAGAGATTTTGTAGGCAACGTTTAATTATTTCATACAGATAACAAGGTATTCCCAAATTTCTCATTTAATACAATAGAACAGATTTTCCTGATGTACTTCATATAATAATGGACAGCTGCGCATGAGATTTGGCGTGAAAACGATTCAACCTGCACTATGCACCGAACTGAAAAATATTGACCGTCAGCGATGTAGGATGTAATAAAGCGATACGCTCCAACACCTTCGCCCTCAGAGAGGAGTGGATTTGGTTTAGGAATATACCGGCCATGCACCCGCAGAATGCGGCATTCGTCGCGGGGCGTTGACTCACCAGAGACATTATCGCGGGCAGGTTTAGGTACTTTGTTGACAATCAATGAGTCGCACGATGTTGACAGTCAATCAGTTGTATGATATACTAATGAAAATCTTTTGTGCTTAACTGAGTAAGACAGCAACGTACACTGAGGGATTCAGAGTTCATTCAACACTATTTTGCCAAATATAACCGTCTCGGTTGTACCACGTTCGGTAGAGAGCGTCACTGTCATATCTACCTACGTTTTTCGTTTCCCTTCAGTGATACTTAACAATAGTTGTAACATTACTATGGCCTTTAATTGATAACACTGTAGTCACTCGCACTTTTTAAATGAAATCCTTGCAATTTCATTCATTTTTCTACTAAAAGAAACTAAATAACTGGAAAATTGCATAACTTGCTTTTTCAGTTCAATGATGAAATATTTTAGCTCAGTCATTTAAAATATAATTTTGTAGACAATGCTGTAATTTGATAATGCAATGTTCTGCAAAATGTAAAAACAGTGAGATAACTGTCTAAAAGCAAACGAGAAAGGACATCGTATGAAAATCAAAGCCTTGTTGAAGTGTAGGCATTGCCATAGAACTCGTACAACGTAATGACATAGGTTTATCTTTGATCTAATTTTATTCGTGCAATTATGTTGCTACAAATGAGTTAGTCGTTACATTGCTATATACGTATTTTCTTTGGACCCCTCGTAATATAGTTAATAAACTACAAAGAGCTATTTATGATTGCACGATATTTACCAACTCTTCTATTAAGACAGTCTATTAAGACGGTTAAGTAATGAAATTTTAAAATATGTTTGGTGTGAAAATAATAAAGAATACTTAAATTGGCGTTCAATAAAATAAGGAAAAATATTGAAGAATTATATTGACTAAATAGACACTGAATCAAAGCGGAATTGCCTGAAGTGACAAAATGACTTAGTAAAATGGTTCAATATTTCGATTCATTCAAATATCTATTTTTGTTTCCAAATAGAAAATATGGTACAAATATAGCTGCTAATCTTGCTCATTAATTTCAGTAACGTCTTCTGGCATATCCCATGAAATTGTTCAAAATTACATTCTCATCAATCGATTGATGAAAATTAATTTCTAATTAGGATCTACTTCATTCTAATGTGCAAGAAATTCAACGCGGACAATGTAATTTTTGACACAGAGATAAATGGAAATTATTGAAAACGTGAGTAATTGGTAACTAGAAACATGTCCATTAAAAATTAAACCACAACCAAATTGAATATTGACTAAGTTGATCAATTTAATTGCGTTCGCCGAGCGTAATATGTATGGCCATGCTGAAAAAGAGAATAATTTGCTCAAAATTATTTGATCAATATATTTTTTTTATCAAACACATTCTCATTAATAAAGAAAGGGTAGGGAAAATATATTAAAATTAGTGGCGCTATAGAATGACTAGTTACTTTCCCATTTTCTGAAATCTGATTTTTCGTTTTTGTCCTGATCTATTCTCATCTGCTAAATGCCGGCGTCTAAAAGAAACACAGGTACATACTACTCCTTCTAAAAGAAACATATCTTGCGGTACATACTACTCCTCTGCATACTGACGTAGACCGATATTTTGGAATGAAGAACCAACAAAACCTGAATTATGACTAACCGTGTTAGAGGAAATTATTACATAAAGGATGAAGAATTATCCAATTTTTCGGTATCAGGGAGCTGCAAAAC